TAATTGAGTTTAATCTTTTTGTTGTTGAATTATTGTTGTTAAATGCCATTGAGTCGGATCCAACTCATAGCAACCCCTTCTTGGGTTTCTGAGGCAGTATTACTACGGAAGTAGATTGCCCCGTCTTCCTTCCAAGGAGTGGCTGGTGGGTTTGAACCACCAGCCTTCTGGTTAGCAGTCAAGTGCCTTAGGCACAAGTTCTTAATATTAAATTCTTGTCAGATATGTGGTTCCCAATTATTATTTCCCATTTTGTATTTTGTCCTTGATGCATAAAAGTTTACATTTTGGTGAACTCCAATTTATCTTTTTTTTTTTTTGCTGCTGCTTTTGGTGCCATCTCTAATAATCCATTGTCAAAAACAAGTTTTTGAAGTTTTTTTTAAGATTTTTATGATTTTAGTTCTTATATTTTTTTCATATATGATATGAGATATCAGTCCAACTTTATTCTATTTTATGTGGATATCCAGTTGTCCTAGTACTGGTTATTAAAGAGAGTGTGCATTCCCTATTGCATGGACTTGATACCTTTGTTGGATATCAGTTGGCCATAGATGTATAGTTTGTTTCTGAACTCTCAGTTCTGTTCCATTGTTCTGTATATCTACACTTACATCAGTTTCAGGCTATTTAGATTACTGAAGCTTTTAGTATGAGTTAAAATAGACAAGTATGAGTCCTGCTTTGTTCTTTTTCAAGATTATTTTCACTATTTGGGGTCACTTGAAATTCCATATGAATCTTAGGATTGGCTTTTCTATTTCTGCAAAAAAGGCTGTTGGAATTTTAATAAGGATTGTGTTGGGTAATATTGACATCTTAACAATACTGAATCTTTCAACCCATGAGCATAGGATATCTTTCCATTATTTAGGTCTTCTTTAGTTTCTTTGAGCAATGTTTTATAATTTTCAAATGTACAAATCTTTTAACTCCCTAGTTAAATTTATTCTTAGGTATTTTATTCTTTTGGGTATTATTGTAAGTAGAATTGCTTTATGAATTTCCTTTTCAGCTCATTCACTGCTGATGTACAAAAAGACAACTGATTTTTCTGTGTTGATTGTTTTGTGACCTATGACTTTGCAGAATCATTTATTAGCTCTAGTTGCTTCCTTGGGAGCTTGCTTCCTTGTGAATTCTTTGGTATTTTCTTATATATATATATATATAAATATATATTTTATATATATATATATATATATATATAATTATTATTATTATTATTATTATTATTATGCTTTAGGTGCAAATTTACAGAGCAGAATTTGTTTTACATCCAATGTTTCATGTACATTTGGTTTCACTACCCAATTATCATCCCCAACCATAACCCACTCACCTCCTATCCCTTCTCGTACCCCCCACACCCAGTGCCCTTCATAGTTATACACTCCTGTATGTCCTGCTTCTCCTCCTTGCGAATATTGCCCCTCTGGTGCCCTGTGGCTGATTGCTCCAAGGGATGTATCTTCCTAGAGTATGTGGGTGTGTCAGCCTGGGTTGAGTAGTCTAAGTGTACATCTTATTTACTATTGAGCTGAGAGCCAGCCACTGGAAATGGGTTTTATTCCAAGCCGGAAGTGTATCCCAGGGCCATAGTATTGGGGGTCCCACCAGACTCCATCCAAGTAACTCTGGTCATTTTTGTGGTTTTGGATTTTGTTCTACATTTTTCCTACCACTCTATCCAGGATCTCCAGTTTTGATCCCTTATCTGAGTGATTGGCATTGTTAGCTGGGGACCATCTAGATCTTCTGATTTTGAGGTCCATTATGTCCTAGGGCTGATTGTTTCCAAATGCACTTTTCTTCACTTCTGATGATAGGAGACTATTAGCTGCATCTTAGATGGCCACTTGAAAGCTTTTAAGACCCCAGTCACTACTCAGTAATGTAGGTTGTGGAACAAAATTTTTATGTATTTTGTTGTGCCAGTTGAGTCTGGTTTCTCCCAATGCTATGGTCCTAAGTTAGTATATCTGTTGGATCTCTCTCCTACTGTGTCTGGTATTTTCTATGTATATGCACCGCTGTCAAGTCGAATCCGACTAATAGCGACCCCTCCTTGGGTTTCTGAGGAAGTATCACTACGGAAGTAGATTGCCCAACCTTCCTTCCGAGGACTGGATGGTGGGTTTGAACCACCAGCCTTCTGGTTAGCAGTCAAATGCCTTAGGCACTATGCCACCAGAGCTCCTTCTATCTATAGAATTTCTATATGGAGAGTTATGAAATCTGAATAGAGAGTTTTACTTCTTTTCTCTTTGGGTGCTTTTTATTTCTTTTTTCTGCATAATTACTTTGACTAGAACTTCCAGTACAATGTTGAATAGTAGTGGTGATAGAGGGTATACTTGTCTTCTTACTTACTGATCTTAAGATGAGTACTTTCCCTGCAAAGCATGATTTTAATTTCTGGGTTTTTCATGAATGCCCTTTATCTTGAGAAATTTCACTGATGTCTCTCATTTAAAGGACTCTTTAGCATATCTTGAGACTCTTTAGCATATCTTGTGGAACAGATTTGTGGTACTAACTCTCCTCAGTTTTTTGTTTATCTGGGAATTTCTTAATTTGCTTTAATTTATGAATGACAATTTTGCCAGATGTAGAATTCTTAGTTGACAGTTCTTTATTTTTTCACCATTTTAACTGTATCATTCACTGTCTCTGGCCTTCATGGTTTGTGAGGAAAAATTGACACTTACTCTCATTGAGGACCTCTTGTATGTGACAATTCATTCTCTCTTGCTGCTTTTAAGATTCTATCTTTATGTTTGGTTTTTGACAGTTTGATTATAATGTGTCTCAGTGTTTATCCTTTATCCTTCTTGAAGTTTGTTGAGATTTTCTATGTGTAGATTAATGTCTTTAGTCAAATGTAGTAAGTTTTCATCTATTATTTCTTCAAATATTCTTTCTTTCCCTTTGTCTCTTCTGGAACTCCCACGATTCATTTGTTGGTTTTCTTGATGCTATCCCACAAATTCTTCAGGCTCTGTTCACATTTCTTCATTCTTTTTGCTCCTAAGGCTTGATAATGTCAGTTGTCCTATCTTAACATTCACTAATTGTTTCTTCTGGCAGCTCAAATTTGCTGTTGTTGCCCTCTGGATGTTTTTTACTTATCATGTCCACTAATTCTATTTGATTCTTTTTTACAGTTTCTATCTCTTTATTAGTATTTTTTAAGGAGCTCTGGTGGTGCAGTGGTTAAACCATTGAGATGTTAACTAAAAGGTCAGCGGTTCAAGCCCACCTATTCCTGTAGACTAGTGGCAAGCATTTGTGCTTGTTTATATTCTTAAACCTTCATCCAAGTCTAAATTTTCCCATATCTTTTCCTTCTTTACCTTAAGAAACAGTAACAAGATGATATTCTGTAGAGGTGTGGTGGCCTTGCTTAATGTGGGGACACATATTATTGGCATTTAGACAAAGAGACATGGAATATTTGGGGTAGAGTGGGAAATGAATGAAGAAACAGTGAATGAGAGAAGGAAATAGAATGGAAATGAAAACTGTATAAGAATTCTTTAAATATTATTTTTTATTATTTATTGTTAACCAGTAAACCAAGGTGGTAAAGAAAGTCATATTTAGTGAGTGTTTGTTATTAGCAAGACGTCCTGAGTAGTTCAAACAGTTAACTCACTCAGCTGCTAATGAAAATATTGGAGAATTGAGTGCACCCAGAAGTGCCTCAGAACAAAGGCCTGGCTCTGTACTTCCCAAAAATCAGCCATTGAAAACTCTATGGACCCACATGAGGGTCACCCTGAGTTGTACTTGATACGATGATAACTAGCTTGATATTATTATTATTATTACCAAGGCACTATGCTAGATTCTTAACTTCTGTTATCTATTTTTTATTTTTTTAATTTAAAAAAACAGAAAAACATAAGTATACTTACTATCTAGAAATAATAACATGATATTCTTTTGTCTTTTTCCTCCACGTATTTTAGAGAAACATTTATATAGAAGTAGAATATAACATAAATTTGAAGTCCCCTTGGTTCTCCTTCTTAGTTCTATTCTACTTTGTCTCACCTTAGAGGCCGTAACTATATGAATTTTCTGTGTATCCTTCAAGGGTTTACATTTTGAAGTAAATATATGCTTTGTAAAATGATGGGTCTGTGACAATGAAACCAGAAGAACTAGATGGTGCCTGGCTACTACTGTCCACCACTCGAAAAGGGATCAGTTCAGGAGATCCTGGGTAGAGTGGGAGAACAATGTGGAACAAAACTCAAAGTCATAAAAAAAAGTCCAGGTTTGCTGGTCTGATAGACCCTGGTGAGACCCCTGAGACTATGGCTTCTAGTTACCCTTCAGGTCTGGAATTGAACTCACTCTTGTGGCTTCCAGCCAAACAATAGAAAGGTATATAGAGTAAACATTTACATCAGGCCGATACACTCCTTGGAGTGATCAGTCATGGCAGAACAGAAGGGTAGTATTTGCACAGGGAGATAGCTCAGAGATGGGAGTGCATGGGATAGAAGGATGCAGGGAAGAGGTAACTATAGAGAGGAAGTGGGAAGAGAGCTGTTACATTGTAGAGAGTTGCAATCAATGTCATGAAACAAAATGTATATGAACTGCTGTATGGAAAATTAATTTGCTCTGTAAACTTTCACCCAAATCAATAAAAATTAAGGGGGATGGGACATGATGGATCTGAGTTTTATGTAAATGTAAATCTATGTCTTTATGATTTGTAGAATGACCAATTGTTTGCTCTTTCTTAAAATGCATGTATTAAATGCAATATGCCAGGCCTATTTTGATTAAAGAAAGATGTTACAATCAATGAGTATGGTAATTATTGAGTCTGTATTTTTCTTTCTCAAAGTGTGTAGACCATTTTCTCCATGTGAAGAAAGCTTTCTGAACATAGGCTTTTTTTCCCTGACATTTTAATCACACATGAGCCATATGTTTTTTGAATTAATTTTTCTTTTATTCTTTTCTTCAACTTATAGGTAGAAATTCTGGTGTATTAGTTGTGAAAATTCTGGAGCTACATGAGGAATGCACCATGCAAGTGGCCATTTGTGAGCAGTTAGAGGGGCTACAAGGCAGTAGCCCTTCTCTTGCTGTGTTTCCCAGCCCCAGGAACTGCCTGAGGGTTCTCTTTACCAAAGAGACTGCAGACCACCTTAAAGGACATCCCCAGGACATTGTGCACATCTACCCTCCCTGGTGAGTGCAAAGAACTCACTCTGGCTATTACTTATTGTCAGTTGTTTTATAAGAAAAGAGGTTGTTAACAGTAACATGTTTGTCACTTTATTATAGAGAAGTCCCAAGTGAAGGAAGCCAAGTCTTGACTTAAATCTTCTGTAGCAGAAGCACTGATTGGTCTCTGATGGCATGTTTGTACTTCTGGCAGAAGATTTTTGATAATTTGAGGAGAAAAACTAACTATGCCAGAATTCCTGGCTAAATGTTGTGTTCTTATAAAATCCAGCTGTTCCAGCTGATTTTATTTTTACCTTTCCTAGAAAAAAATTTTTTTAAAAAGAAATATTATGTGCTAATAGGATAATGCACATTAATTTAATATTTCTTTGCAAGTCACTTTAAGGGTAGGAATAAAAAGCATAAATTAAGTCACAATATGGTTTGAACTTGGAGCATAAATGGTCATTAATGAATCAGAAATTATTTTCAAGGGTACTGTTTTCTTCTGAATGATATGTTAACTTTATCATAGTGGAAACGCTACAAGTCTGTTTAAAGTGAAAAAAGAAAAGAAAAGGAAAAAAAAAAAAGGAGTTCTATTAGGGACAGAAAGAGGTTTTGCAAAATGGTCAAACAAAAAGCCAAACAGCCTTGGCGGTGTGTCCCAGAGAACTGTGTATTTACAGAGGCTTATAAAGATAAGTGTGCAGCTAAAATGTTTGTGATTGGCTGACATTTACAGAGCTTAGAGGCGAGTTAGAACAAGGTTATGGAAAAGTACAGGGCACCCAGGCACAGCTTAGAAAAAACTTTTTTTTCTTTGTTTTATTTTGAGAAGGAGCAAAAAGGGGTGTTTTTTGAGAATCAGCCAACCTCTAAAGTCATATGCTTAATACCTGTACATACCAGGATTCTGACAAAACCACATTCTTCAGCCTTACCTGACTCTAACCTGTATGGTGTTTTATAAAATTTTCCATCCTATCACATGTAAACCAAAAATAAGTATCAGAGTAAGAAAAACGAATTTGGCCTACTATGAAATTTGAAAAGCCCTATTCCTGTCAAGTGCCTTAAGTTTTTGGATGTTTTCTCCATTTCCCCCTTTTGATCAAGAATTCCTTTGGGAATTCTGTGATCACACTAAAGAGTACTTTTCTTTCGTGTGGGCTTTCTCTTTACCTTGTTTAAGCTAGGAGCCTCAACTTCAGGGTAAGTTGTTTTTGAGATCCATCTTAATAGGTTCTGATCACTTACTAGTGTTCAAAAAAAAAAAAAGGAGTAACTCTACTTCCTCAAGGATTTGGTCATGATTATAGAAACCTGCTTGTTAATTTATAAGCCTTTAAGACCCCACATGCTATTGGATGAATGACAAGGCTTGGATGTCATTAAACAATCAGCTGGACATCATCACAGGAGTTTTCACCATGCCATGGAGGGGTCACTATGAGTGGGATCCAAATCCATGGCAGTGAGTTTGGTTTTGGTTTATTGTATAAAGACTTTATGGAGTTATTTTTACAGTCTAGTAATTTTGGGGGTACATTTGGCACTATTGTATGGTAACTAGGAAGTCTTATTGTTAGGAGGGATTGTCTACCCAATCTTTACATATTTTGGCAACTTTAGGAAGGGGAAAAGTGTTTAGGCTACAGCAGTCTACCACAGTTAAATTAACTGTGATTAAGGTGAGATATGGCATTTGGGGCAAAAGGAAGTGCCATAGTTTGACACGTACACCTTGTTTAAAAGTCAGGTTGAGGTTGATGGTTACTTTGTGTGCAAAGCTATGATTAGATTTGGAAAAGTAAATGGATCTGAAGTATCATGTACAGAGCAAGGGGAAGGATACCAGATTCAGCAATTAATTAAATGGCTTGATTTGGCTGTTGTTTGAAAAATTTTAACAAAAGTATTATGTTTCCATGCAATTAAAGGTACAGTAAGCTTTATGTCTGCCTATATTGGTATATAAAATGTAAGTAAATATTCTAAATACCTATGTTAAAGATAATAAGTTTGATAATTTGAAGTAATAATGTAGTAAGTGTTAAAATAGAATAAAACCTTGTTCTGTATAAACTTTATATCTAGATGATAAAACAAAGCTATTTTAAATATAAAAAGTACTTAACTGAAATGTCCTTTTTTTTTTAAATTGTGATTTGGGTGAAGATTTACAGAGCAAATTCACTTTCCATACAGCAGTTCACATATACTTTGTCTCATGTAATTGACCATAGTTTACCACAATGCAACAGCTCCCCTCCCACTTCCTCCCCATAGTTACCACTTCCCAGTGTCCATCCCTCCATACTCTCCTGCCCCCTGAGCTGTCTCCCTATGCATACGCAGCCCTTCCTTCTCCCATGATTGTTCT